TATTTTGTATTTACTCTTAATATTATAAATAAAGAATTACGGTAGATGTGTAATATTGAATGCAACCGAACCGTGTATTACAATGCCATTATGTGATGACTTTCAAAGAGAGAAGCAAGCACACTCGGATTAAAGTATTTGGATTTCATATCGCATAAACACCAAATCCCAACGTGCATTGCGGCTAAAACATCCAATCACCGAGCTTCAACCATAGCTGAGGATCTTGGGTAATCAGTTCAGTGGGTGTGTTTCAAAATGTCCCGGAAATTCAGTATTCTGAGCCCCATTTATTTTCCTCACGGACGGCAAAAAAAGTCAGATATTATAGAATTAAAAATAAAAACAATAATCGTGGCTTGATATTGAGTAAGAACATGTTTTTATGAACCACACAGCTTCCGGTCTTCCAAGACCCGACCGGACAAAAATATGTGGTGCAGGCACGAAACATACTACCAATAGAAATACATTGCTTTTAAAATTGTTCTGTGACATAAAAAAAATTGAAAAATCGACTATAACACAAATGTGACTATAACACAAAATGCCGTGAGACTGGGTTGAATGACAACAGAGTTACACTTTTTTCAATTGAGTTGATTTGTAAAAGACACTTTTTAGCTAATTTCAAACCAAAACTCAAAACATTAAACTGTTCCGGGCTACATCAAGTATGCAGAATATTGCCATGCTCCACTTGTCCTGGAAAATTGGTATTTCCAACTTCCTAGTTCCTATTTGAACTGTAAAGCTGCACTCACATGATACATGGTTTACTCTTGGCTCAGGTTGGGTGCAGAGCCTTGCCGTAAAAACAACCAGTTGAGTTTTTTTACTACAGTAACCTCCCCTGCTAGCTTGCAGGGCTACAAACATAATTAATGTCATTGGTTGCACAACGAAAAGTCAGCGGTAAACAAGGTCAATGTGGAAGTAGTTTGAACTTTGAGCATCGGGTAGCGTTTTCGCCTAGTTGGGCAGCACAACTTTCACCGTAGGAACACAGCTAAACATCAGTGTAGAGCAGGGTTGCCAACTCTCACGCATCTGGCGTGTGACACACGCTTTCACTCTCAATCTCACGCTCTCACACTGCCCAAACTATTCTCACGCCAAAAACAAGATGAACCGGCGATCGTTTTTGGTTGGTTATTTACAATGTTGAGTTGACAGCTGTTCAAGCTGTCGATCAGCTCCCTCCCCGCCCCCACCACTCTTAACAACGTTAAGACAGGAGAGCAGTGGGAGCCGGTTGGTCAATCCCCTACCCGTATTGCGCATGCGCAGATCTAAGATCCAGTAAATAATAATAATAATATATAATATTTTTATAGCGCCTTTCAGGAAACCCAAGGTCGCTTTACAAGTCGGGTAGGGGGGGGGAGTAGGGGAAAAAAGGCAGACAGGTTAAGGGGGTGGGGGCGGGAAGTAGCGGAAAAATAAACCTATTAAACTAACTATACAGTGGCGAAAGCCTTGGTAAAAAGGTGCGTTTTGAGGGCTTAGAGTAGAAATGATAAAAAGTAAAAGTCTGCTGCGTATATGAGAGTGAGAGTGTGTTAATTAATATATTTGGCAGTTTGGAGTAAGTCTGTAGATTTGTTTGTGTGTGTGTGTTTCATGTATAGGCCTCTCACGATAATTAATTTTGTTGGATACATTTTCCCGTAAATTATTGCGATAAACGATAATATTGTCGGCACCGTTGTATGACCATTTTAGACCACTGACATAATGATAATATATAATAATAATTCAAGTACATCCTTTCAAACTGCTAGTCACATCCTCATGTAAATGTAAATGTATCGAGTTCATTTTGATTTATCGTACGATAAGTCAATTAAGTGCTTATTGCGATAGGCACACAATAAAACAGTGGAAACAAACATGTGTTTGACTTTCATTAGTGAATGAAACTTTATGCCCTTTATAGTCTGTGTCCAATATTGTGTATTTGTATATATTGTATACATATCCTATATATATGCTAAGGTCCCGCTACTGACACGATAGCAGTCATTTAGTGCGCATATGTGTAATTAAACCCATGATATCAAAATCTCACTCCAGCCAGGTACCCAAAGTTGGCAACCCTGGTGTAGAACCGTCTGCCACTAATCATGTAAGTGCAGTTTAAAAAGACTTGAAAGGTCGGAAACATCATCGAACCCAACATCAACATCCAAGATGGCTGCTCCTCACAGCAACAGTGTGCAAGCATTTTATTAGCACTTGCATTAGCATTGTCCAACTTCTACCTGTGGACATGTTGATATGATGTTTGTGTGTGTTAGATACAGTGTAATACATTGTGATCAATGGTGAGCACAATATAATTTCCCATGGCTATCTTGTTTAAAAGAGAGCCATTAAAAACTCTATCTCTAGGCTCAACATACCCCACTAACACACTTATATCACTTTGTTGTGCATTATACTCGGTTTAAAAGAGAATCAATTTGGGTTCAAATTAAATAAGCGTCAGTTGGCCTATATTTCTGCTGCTTACTGCAGGTAACCCATTACTCTAAAGTGCTGCTGTTGGCTGAAAACTTCAGTTGAACTAGTTTGCTGGAGCTGAATAGGCTGTTTATATAACAAAAGGCCACTATGAGCTATATATATATACTGTATATATATATATATCTGTGTAGCTAGGTAGTGTTGAATACAGAACATAAATATGTGGGATGGCACAAACCAATACAAGTTTGATATTTTTTTTGTGGGGAAGCTGACTTGCTTTTGGAAACTTTGCTAAAATGAAGCCTCCGTATTGTTTTTAATCTGACTGATGTTGGTAATCTGCTAATTTAACAACAGAGTTCTCTTAATATTGTGGGTTCAAGGTATGCAGTGTGAGGACTAAAGGATAAGACGCCATATTCTGGTTTTTTAGGTGTTCCCTTTCCTGTAGTGTGTTATGTTTGTGCATATAAATGGTCTTCAAAGGCTAAAATCCCTGTGTTCCCTCCAGAGGGAGATTCTCTACCACACACTCCCCCCTTGTCTGAAAGGCCTCCATTGGACTCCTTTGTTTACTTCTGTAACACAGTGACATCAATATCTAACTCGTGCTTCTATTGGCTAACGCTCCAACACATTGTACGTGATGGGCTAAGGGGCGGGACATCTCTAAGCGGTTGACTTATCACAACAGAGACGGCCAGCTAACCAATCAGAGCAGACTGGGGTCTGGTTTCAGACAGAGGGGGAACATAGGTGGTGCAGTACAGGGAAAACTAAATAACTTTTTGAACATTAAAGCATGGAGACATGTCCCAGTAAAGACACTACATACAGATATGAACCTGAAAGTGAGCAGAATATGTGTTAGCAATTACATGACATGAACCAGTTAAAACACAATGCAACAGTTCACCCAAACTGTAATAGAGAGTATTACTCACCACCATGTTGATCTAACTGAGGCTGATGGGGGTTTTGGCTTGTTCTTTTCTCCCCCTCACCCCACATGACTCACTGCTGCCGAACATACAGCTGGGGGCCGTACAGCTCTTGAGAACAGTGACTGCGTTACAGGAAAAAAATGAATACATGTGTAAAATCTACAGGGTGAAAGCATGCTTACCTTCAGCCACTTCAATTTGATGACAAGGTAAACCAGCAGAAATGAGAAATTGTGTAAGGAGAGGACTGGACATACAAACACTGAGTACTTTTTTTGTTATTGCTAGAATATTCTGATCAATTAAAAAGGATGTAGCACATTCTGAAATACTATGGATGGATTTTCTTGGACTTGTGTACTATTTTGGTCTGACAGCTATTCCTCGTGTGTACTCGTTGCGTTTTGAAAGATCTCTTGTGAGTGCAATCTGGGAGCCCTCCTCGGCTCGGTGCCTGACTGGAGTGTAGGTGGTAATCTGGCTCACCGTGTATTCACAGCCACTGCTCGCGCCTTATCAGCAGTCTAAAGCTTGCATGCTCAATCGCCTGATTTGTCAAGGGTGACTCCAAAAGATTCTGATAGGCACTCCGCAAATCACCCAGTTGATCTAAAATATCGACCAGCCACAAAAAGTCATTACACACAATAATGGCGGGCAGGACCTTGAAGATGTGACTTAATTAGGTTTAAAACGGCTTCAAATCTGCTCCCCTGGAGAGTAATGCGCTCTTGGATTTTTCTCCGTGATTACAGGTGTAGAAAGTGAAGCACACGGCTGCTGACAACACCACTGCTGACCCTAACTATAGGTGATAGCAGCAGCACAGACAGAGATGAACGGTCATACAGAAAACACACAACCTATTTCTATATTCCCCTCACCTATTGTAATGACTGAGGCAGACAGAAGGCATAGAGCTCTGCTGTAGCATATGACGTGTTTTCCTAATGAAATTTGGAAAAAATTATTGAAATGCAAATGGTTTTGATAGAGCTGCATACATTGGCAGTATGTAAATGAGTGCTTCGCCTGCTTCTAAAATCGCTCTGAACATAATAACTGCAGAGGCAAAAATAATTCTTCTTTAACCTCCAGCATAGAATGAATGAAAACTTTATTACAGACTCAGGGTCCAGATAAAAGACAAGACATTACATAGATAAAATACAAGGCATTACACATAATAAATTACATACACAGCATAAAAATAATTCATAGTTTAAGAATAATTTAAATTAGTGTCCTACAAAGAGACAACTATACCAATGTCTCCACAGCTGTGATTGGTAGCGTGTAGTACTAAACCTTATGTTCGATAAGGCCAAGAGGATTTCATTATCAGAGTCATTAAGCCGGCAAATACATTTATACATAAGATTTCTTAAAACAGCTTGTAGAGTGTTGACTCCTGCAGCCACAAACATTTCACTTGCACTAGACCATCGAGGTCTCTTCAGCAATATTCTCATGGCATAGAACTTTACATTTATGGAAACTCAGTATATTTTTTACAATTAATACAAATGTGACGATGATCTTAGGGTTTATTTATGTATTCACAATGCCATTGTCTCCCCACAGAAAACCAAGATCTCCACGTATGATAAGATGTGGGAGTTCATGAGCAGTCGGAGGCACTCGGTGATGGTGAAGGACATCGAGGAGGGCATCCACCGTGTGCTCACCTCGGACTACGCGTTCCTCATGGAGTCCACCACCATAGAGTTTGCCACCCAGCGCAATTGCAACCTCACGCAGATCGGAGGCCTCATTGACTCCAAAGCCTACGGGGTGGGCACCCCAATGGGTACGTATGCTGCAGTTTTCCTGAAGCGAAAGCTAATGCCTGTAACAGACCCTACATATGCATTAACCTATCATCAGTTATGCGTTGTAATGAGATGTTGCAGGCAACAGCAGGATGTCCTTTTTGAATTGTGATTCCTTTGGGTCCTTTATATATCTGTAGTAGCTAAGTTGACCCACTGGCTGCTATGTGAATGCATTATGTTGCTCTGAGTGTGTACAATCTCATGAGTTTGCATATGCCATATGTTTTCAGGTGTTTTTGCATAATGATTCTCTTGTTTAAAAAAATCAAGTGCATCAGTATCTCAGTCTTTGGGGACTTGGCTTGGAAACCGGAAAGTTCAAGTCCTGAATGAATGAATAACATAATACGAGTGTGGACTACTTGCACACGTGCTTGTTTAGCACTACCAAGGTGCCAGTACGCAAAAAACCTGATCCTCACACGGCTCCCAGGGCTATGCTGCTGTTACTATGAGGGTTACACATGTCTAAGTTTCAGTATATCAGTATAAACAAAGGTTGATTAGATATAAATCAACTATTTTCAAGCTTAAAAGCATTAATGCATTGCATACATAACAGTCGACACATATCATCATGAACTGACTATACAGCAATTTATTTAATTTCAAGATTTGAAATGCAAGGATTTATGAAATGTGGTTCCGATCAAAGGGGATATACTGTAGATCTTTGTATGTATGGTTGGACGCACGGATGGATCTTATTAAATAGGGAAATAGATCTGATCTAATCTAAACCGAGAAAATGTATCAATTGGATGTGTGAACATTATTTTCCATTTCACATTTTTGACTTCATGTGACCTGCTTGTCAGACTTAAAGACTGTCTAGCTAATGCCGATGCTGAAAATAGAGCTGTTGAACACTGTATTATCAAAGAGCCTGTTCTACCAAAAGATTCTCAAATGTAAAAAAAATGTTTTCGATGAAGTCAAGGAAGCCTATATTACATTTGTGACATTACAGTGAAAGTGGAGGCCACAGCCTGTCTACAGTTGAATTGAGCTTCAAAAACCTTGACTAAAGTTTATGGGTTATGGTTTCACTTGATGTGTTTCTTATTTAACCACAACCCTGGAAAGAGTGGCGAAGTCCCTCCCCTTCCGGTGGACCTCCATGGGACCTTATTTCGGAAAAATCATGTATTGAAGTCAATGGAGGGAGAAAGATTATCTTTCGATCCCGTTTGAATTGTGCCACAAATTACACATATGGTGTTTGTCAATTTAAAAGATAATTTTGCAAGTAAAAAAAAAAAAAATGTGTCGTAGAACTGTGAAGTAACACTTTTTTTTGTGTGAAACGGTCAATGAACTACATCTCTGGTCTTGCACAACAACACACGTCACCAAGATGGCCGTCACTACTGTCTTGCTAAATAAGGGATTGACTACCCTCACTATCACCACAATGAAATACGTCCAGAAGAATGTCCTGCAAAGCTGCCTGCCTGCCTTCCTTTGATTCTCTCTAAACTGCCTGATCTTTTTAATGTTTAATGTCAACCGTTTGTGTAGATAGCATGAAGTACAAAAGATCGCCGATGCTAATGTTGCGTTAGCGTTAGCATTTCTCCCCCGGGCTTAAATGGTGTATTATAGAATGATCACACCGGTGTGACAGTACTCTTCAAAGGGTTCACGAAATGTGACTACTACTCTTACTGTTTAACATTTTGGGTTACTTAATGTTACTTCATATTAAGGCTAATAAAAATGACAAATGCTGCGTTCACACCGGACGCAATGCGAATATTCGCTTCGCTCTAATCGCTCGAGTTTCACCGCGGCTGCCAGAGCTGGCAGCCGCTTGTTTGAATGATGCGAGTAAACACAGCTCTGTGTTTACTCGCATCATTCAAACAAGACGCGCTGGCTCGGGAGCTACAACTACCACAAAATTAACATATTTTACCGTGATTAAATTGTAATACACGTTTCTAAATGATGCCGAAGTAACAATATACTGATACCGGTTAGTAAAAACCATGAATTGACAGTAGCGTGGCGTGGGGAACAAATTAGGGGAAGCCAATAATACGTCCTTTCTTTTGAGTCGGGGGTGTGGTGGTCAATATAATAACGTAACCAGATGAGTGATTACAGCACCCGGTATCATTTTACACACATTTGTATCATACAGATGCAGGACTTACACACGCCTGTTATCTAACCGACAGGTCCGCACGCACTCTCCATCCCAAACTCTAATAAGCATTCATTCACAAACTAAATCAGGAGACCTTTAACGTTTTACGTCCGATTCGCTTCTTTTTTCCTCGCTGTACACAGCTCCAGTTTGGGCATTGGCCTGTCATCAGATTGTATTTGTTGTTGCTGCTGTAGCGGAAGTTTAGTACAATTACTTTTGATGAAATACTCCAAATCTCCACCCTCCATAATTGCACTTGCTTCAGTTGCTTGCTACTTTCTAATGGCGGTGAGAGTGATGCAGTGACGCTATCTATCTTCTATCGATTAGATTTATGATTATAAAATTATAAAAGTAGGGTAGACATGTGGATATTATCCGACTGAACAAAACGTACATTTATCTTACAGGTTCGTTTTCCACTGACCTTATTTCGAGTTCTATGGAGAAATCCCATTGATTTTTTTGTCGAGGGAAACCGAGCGCAGCTTACTTCCGGATTTTAGGACGCGTTACTGCAACACTAAGTTGATGCGATTTGATTGGATTGTGAGGCAAGGGAAGCCAGCCGCCTCCAGCTTCCCTTGGCATGGCCCTGACCAATCACAGGTTGGAAGGGGCATCACGTGAGCCTCATCTGATTGGTCAATCCCTCAATTCATCACAAGTCACAAGAAAGTGCTATTTCACTGGGTGTCCCCCAGGGGTCAGTACTGGGTCCACTCCTATTCATCATATATCTCCTCCCCCTGGGCAAAATCCTCCGTCACCATGAGGTTAATTTTCACTGCTACGCCGATGACACACAGGTCTACATTTCTTCCAAACCCACCACTGCCCTCCCCCCAACCTCCCTCACCACCTGCCTTGAGGACATCAGGAGCTGGATGAGCAGGAACCTCCTGAAGCTTAACGGTAGCAAAACTGAGGCCCTGCTCATCGGCTCCAAATCCACCCTCACCAATTCACATATCACCCCAGCATCAAACATCATCATCGACGGCTTCCCCATACCATTCGCTGCCCAAGTGAAAAGCCTCGGTATCATTCTGGACGGCTCCCTCTCATTCGCACCACACATAAAAAACATCACCCGCACCGCCTTCTTTCATCTTCGGAACATCTCCAGACTCCGCTCATCTCTGTCCCAACCCAGCACTGAAATCCTGGTCCACTCATTCGTCACATCCCGGATTGATTACTGCAATGCACTTCTGACTGGCCTTCCCATCAAGCTCCTCAATAGACTGCAAATAATCCAGAACTCTGCTGCCCGGATCATCACCCGCACCAACTTATCCGACCACATCACCCCCATTCTCACTCAGCTACACTGGCTTCCTGTACGCTACCGTATTGACTACAAAAACATTCTACTCATATACAAAGCTGTCCATAACCTTGCCCACATCTACATCACTGACCTCCTTCAGGAGTACACCCCCTCCCGCACCCTCCGCTCTTCGTCCGTAGGACTTCTCACCGTCCCAAGCTATCGCCTCAAAACCATGGGTGCTCGAGCTTTCAGCTGCTCGGCTCCCAGACTCTGGAACACCCTGCCACTACACATCCGACAGTCTGATTCCATAACAACATTCAAAACCCAACTCAAAACCCACCTGTTCAAACTGGCATTTTCTTTATAATCTGTACCCTGTGTCCTTTTGTAGTCAATTTCCTGTTGTTTGTCTTGTCTTACCCCGGCTGATACTTCACTAAATCCACTGTTTTAATTTGTAAGGTCAAATTGTAAATGTAAATTGTAAATCTGTAACCCTGTAAGGTGTCCTTGGGTGTTATGAAAGGCGCCCCCCAAAATAAATGTATTATTATTATTATATCTATATGGCGCTGATCTTAGCTATCTCTTAGTGGAGGAAAACAGTTAGGACATCACTTACGCAACTCTGGGATTTGTAGTCTTTCTAGTTGCGTGTTTTTCATAGTCTTATATTTCAACAGTTTTACAACAAACTGTGACTTTTTTGACATGGAAATTATTTTTTAAGATTGACAAACATCATATGTGTATTTCATGACACAATTCAAACGCAGTCACTGTTCTCTCTCCATTGACTTCAATACATAATTTTCCCGAAATAAGGTCCCATGGACCGGAAGTAGATGGGCGTGACTTCACCACTCTATACTATTCTTTTATCAAGTACTGTAGTAGCAATGTATAATGATGCAGTAATGTTGTAGTACCCTAGTTTGATGTCTATTAAGAAAAACGGTCATATTTATATAAAATGTTTAACATTTCCTTGTTAACTAAAAGTTGTGAGAACTCTATTCTAGTATATTTTATGCTGCAAAACATCCCAGAGGGTAACCCGTGAGAAGGAGTATAAACAGAGAAAATCTCTGGCTGACAGAACAGTGTTACATAAATACAGGCATGAATAGGAAGGTGGCACATTACACTGTGTGTGTTCAGAGGTGCAACATTTGATTGCGGGGCTTAGCAGTAAATTGTCATAATCCAGTAATAAACCCAGTGAAAAGAAAAACTATCATTAAGTACCTGCAGAATTATAACTGGCAGACAACTTCACATGATGACCTCACGCAAAAGGCCGCTCGTAATCACATTCATTCACAGAGAGGGGATTGTAAAATAGTTATTATGGTGTTTATGCCCGTGCAAACAGGGCTTTTGAGCAATATGCTGTCTCATTAAATGTCAGTCTAATAAACCATAAGCTTGAAAAACTACTTGGAAAGACTATCATAAATGATGCTTCTAGTTTATTGAATACCTACTTCAAATACATTGGGAACATAGTACAGTAAATAAAGGATGAAGCCTCAGTTAAA